TTCCAGTGCCTGACCACCCTTTCTGAAAAGTAATACTTCCTCATGTCCAGCCTGAATCTCCCCTGCCGTAGCTTGAAACCATTCCCCCTGGTCCTATCACTAATGACACGAGAGAAGAGGCCGACCCCCAGCTCACTACAACCTCCCTTCAGGAAGTTATAGAGAGCAATAAGGTCTCCCCTGAGCCTCCTCTTCTCCAGGCTGAACATTCCCAGCTCCTTCAGCCTCTCCTCATATGGCCTGTGTTCCAGACCCCTCACCAGCTTTGTTGCCCTCCTTTGAACACGTTCCAGGGCCTCAATATCTTTCTTGCAGTGAGGGGCCCAAAACTGGACACAGTACTCGAGGTGCAGCCTCACGAGTGCTGAATATAGGGGAACAATCACCTCTCTGCTCCTGCTTGCAACACTGTTTCTGATGCAAGCCAGGATGCCGTTGGCCTTCTTGGCCACCTGGGCACACTGTCGGCTCATGTTCAGCCGAGCATCAATCAATACCCCCAGGTCCATTTCCTCTACGCAGTCCTCCAGCCACACCGCCCCAAGCCTGTAGCGTCGCCTGGGGTTGTTGTGGCCGAAGTGCAGGACCCGGCATTTGGCCTTGTTGAAACTCATCCCATTGGCTCCAGCCCAGCTCTCCAGCCTGTCCAGATCCCTCTGTAGGGCCTCACTACCCTCAGGCAGATCCACACTTCCAGCCAATTTGGTGTCATCTGCGAATTTACTGAGGGTGCACTCAATGCCCTCATCCAGGTCATCAATAAAGATATTGAAGAGGACAGGCCCCAGCACCGACCCCTGGGGAACACCACTCACGACCGGTCGCCAGCTGGATTTGACTCCATTCACCACCACTCTCTGTGCCCGGCCCTCCAGCCAGCTCCTTACCCAGCCAAGAGTGCACCCATCCAAGCCTCTGGCTGCCAGCTTCTGCAGGAAAATGCTACACTATGACCTCAAAACACGTAATGAGTCTCAATTCTGCTAGCCTGAGACCTCTTTGGAAGTCATTGTACAACTGGGAATCAAGTCACTGAGCTTCAAACAGCAGCCAGAGAGATGTGGAATAACTCCAGTATATGATGTAAGATGGTCTTGGTACAGCTGATCAGTACACCCACCAGATTCTTCTGATGAAAAGAAGCCTCAAGGGCGCTCCTCAGCCTCTTCTTAGGACAAAATGCATGCAAGTTAGCCCCATCTTACTCAAGACAATCTCTCTCTTTCCTTAACTCATACACCCCCAAACTATTCCAATATACTGGCCATTATCTGACTTCCATGAACACAAAAAACACAACCAGTCTGCAGTTAAACTGTGAGAACTGCCAAAGTGAGCAACTGCTCGGCACCTTAGTAAGTCACAACTCTTTTTTTTTTAGATTTTTGACATGAAATGTTTGCTTACCTGACAGTAATCAATTCCAGTAACCAGTGAATTCGAACTTGTTCAATGCCATCATGAGGAACAGAAGAAATGTACGCAAGGTTCATCTCTTGATCTTTGCTTAGGTCAAATAGGTCAGCAGACCTGTGAGGTAAAGGAGGGCTTTGGAAAAAGAACAAAAAAGAAGTAACGTATTACAACATTGGCTATCAGATCCACTGGGTATTCAGAACTCCCTGTGCTAAACATGTATCACCTGCAAGATCTTATCTGGCATAAGGAACACTGTCTTAACAAGGGACGAGAGTGAAATGGAAGCTAAGGAGTTGGACCTATGATGTGGCTAAACAGAACAAAAATCAGGTACATCTCATTGCCACACTTAAAGTATCACAAGCAGTCATTGCTCCTCAGGTAACAGCTTCAGTCAGAGGTGGCATGAAGTGGCTATGCAGTGGCGATCACTTTACTTCTGAGTAACCAGTGATAAAAAAAGCACAGTGACTTCTAGGTTCTGGAGCAGGAGCCAGGTTTGTCCAAGACTGTGCTAAAGCAAATACTGCGTTGATATTCCTGCTGAAGTCTATGCGCTGACATCAACCCTTGCTCTGCTATGAGAAGCATCCATCACACCTCATCTCACCTTGAAGCATAAGAAAGTACTGGAGTATGAAGCTTGGTATTTCTGTGATGCTGCAAGCCTTGAGCACGTTAAATTGCATAACGATGATCATACTAACATTAATTCAGTGCCACATTATTCCACCAAAATTAAGGAACACCAGAGCAAATTCCTGCTGCTTTTACCTCCGCAGAGAAATAACTGCAAGATGGAAAGAGATCTCACTCCTCGTTCTCCTCAAGTTAGAACATTAACTTAGAACATTGCTCTGTTCACTGGCTTTGTGCATCTTTCACCACTTTCAATTAGACTGCTAGGAATCTGCAAATTCTGAGTTTTGAACTGTTTACATTACAAGAAAGATAAAAACATAATTATTTCCAAAGTTTGGTAAAATACTTCTGTACATCTTCCTGAAGCAAGAGGAGACAACTTGTACTATACTATACTGTTTACAGGTAGTATAGTTACTGTATAGATGAGCAACAAAGTTACGCTTGGCCTACTGTGATGTCTCTTCTGATGGGTAGATGAGACAGGCTCCAAATTTACTACCACTTCCATGCTACCAAACGGGTTGTGTGACTTCAAATTTCTCCTTTTAGCAGTAAGTTTTACACATTACTCTTTTCTGCCAGGATTACCCTTTTCTGCAAGGATTCCCAAAGTTGTCTGTTCAGCCTCCATCACTGGCAGTAGATACTGGTGCTGCTAATGGTAGCAGCATCTTCTGAGCTATATTATTTTAACTATACTGCAGATAGTCGAACTGTCATCTTCTCCTTCCCTACTCCCTCTTTAAGTTAATCTCACTTCCTGCAGTTACTGAATGAGCCTGATACTGTACAGACTTCTGTGCCTGAAGGCAGAAAAACCTGAACCCACCTTGAAAAAGACTTGACATGTCCTAGCACAGACACTACCATCCCATCTCCTGCATTCTTATTAGAAAGCTAAGTCTTGGCACATACTACATTCCTGCGGTGCTTCATGCAAATCAGCTAGCATATGAGAGCTCTTCTGTGCAACTTCATTAGCATACAAGGCACTTAAAATGCCATCTCCCAAAGACTGCCTCAAGTCACACACGAGACTGAGAAGTTACGGATTCTACTTTGTCTAGAAATGTACCAGCCATCTGGGTGGTTTTCATTGTTCCAATGGATAAGGACAGTATCAACTGCTGGATTCTGAAGGAGTGTTTTATGACTGCACTGAAATTCAAACTTGCACAAATGCACTGTTTCACCCAGTGGCAAACTAGACAGAAATCAAGGCATAAAGCATTCACAGGCATTGCCCATGCTGAATAAAAATGTTGAAATTCACACTGCCGGAGAGAAACCTTATGACCATGACAAGACAGAACAGAATGCTGGAAAATCAGCATTTTTTGTTAGTTAGTTCTGGTTCCTCTTCTGAATTGAAAGCACTCATCAACGAAAATTTTAAGGCTTGAAACCTCTCAGGCTTTGTTATCCACTGATCCCCAGCTGCATACGTGCCCAACAACTGGACCCAGAGTGGCTGTTCAAGGGATCCATCACTAACACTGTTGGCCAAGTATTACAGCATAATTGAATAGCTGCTGATAGAGCCGGTCGGTAGAGCCGCTCCTTCTGCTCCTTGGTCTCCTCACTGACATCTTTCTCACACTTGCAGTCTTATAAAATTTATTTCACATAATTAAATGCCTGAGTGTTTCTCGGGTTGCGGTTTAAATGAGAAAAGTGTATTATTTAATGCAGCTTTTCTTAAACGCTTTTTTGCCTTGCAAGTAGAAATTACAAACAAAAGATGAAAATCCAGAAAGCTCAAACCTTTCTCTTCATAAGCTTGTTTTTAGATTAACATACACTAGCTGATTTTAGGCCTTTTTCCGCTGACATGAGAAAACACTGTAAATTTTTCCAACTCTTTTCTCAGGGTCGCCTTAAGCACTGTATTAAAAAATTCCTTTTAAACCTAAGTGCAGGCTGCTGACCTAACACCGCTGTGACACAGCCTCACAACTGCCACTTAACCCACTGCGTGCCTAAGCGGCAGAGGCCACAGTCAGTTTACACCCGGGCTGCGGAACACGCCGCGCTCTGAGAAACTCGCAGAACTGACATGAAGGGCCGTGAGTTCAGCGTCCCACAGCTCACGCTGCTTGGGGGCAGGAGGGAGGACGTGACGCGTTCGGGGGCCGACGAACAGCGCAGCAGCAGGGCGGGCGGCCCACCCCGCGACGCAGCGTGACCCACGTCGGCAGGCCGGCCGGAGCGGGCTCCTCCGGACAGGCAGCGCCGGCGCACCACGGGCATGCTGAGCTTCGGGCGGGCTGCGGGCAGACGACCCCTCAAGCGCTTCTCGCCCGCGGCACCGGGCCCGCCGCCGGAGCCCGGGTCCGCAGCAGGACAGCGCGCTTACCAAAAGCCTGTACTCCTCCAAAAGTGCCTCAGGGGCCGCTCGGCTCGCCGGACATCCACGTACACCACAAGCGCCGCGGAGCCCGCGCCGAGCTGCACCATCAGCCAGAGCAGCACCCCCATGGCGGCGCGGGAACCGCCGACCGGCGCCGGCAGCAAACGCAGCCCGGACGCGACGACGGGAGCCCGCCCACCGCGGGAGTGCCGCGGCTCCCCGCCCTGACGGCGTTGTGAGGCGGTGGGTGCTGGGCGGCCGCGTGCAAGCTTCCGAAACGGCAGTGTTACGTTTCGGCGTGGCCAAAAAGCCGAAGTTGCTTTCTTAAGAGAAGATGCCTAAGAAAAGTTACGTTCGTTTATCCAGGAAGCCTCGTCCTTTCAGGCACGGTATCAGGCGTGCCGTAAAAAGTGCTGAAACGCCGCCGTGCCGTGGCTGGGCCAGCAGCGTGAATCCTGAAGACATTGTGAGGGAACTTGGCCTGCAGGGTGAGCGCTCTAGAGGGCTCTGTTGGTATTTAAAGAATCATCTGTCAGAGCTCAGGGAAAGACTCTTCTCCAGGAGTCTGCCTCTTGTTTTGGACAGTTTTCCCCAAGGTGTGATCCTTGCCGCCTCAGCTGCATCAGACCAAAAGCTGGGGGGAGAAGGGAGGACAAAAATCCTTCCCAGAAGACAGACAGACAGGGAACTTGAGGTGGCTCTGCATCAGCCCCAGGTTCCACTTTCTGTATCTGAGAAAGCAACAGGATTTTTCAGTGTTCATTTTCTGAAGAGCAGAAAATCTTTCCTGCTCAACGCTGCTGCCCTTGTTCTTCCTGCCGTGGCAAGAAACCAAAGCAAGAAGAGTTCCCTATGGTGGAACCTCATATTTCTCTGTTCCCAAAATATCTGCAGGGATGCTACAGAAGAGGTCAAATGATTTGCTGTCAGTAAACCAAGGTAGCCAACTGAATATGTGTGGATGCATTTGCAGGCCAAGTGCCAGGTTACATCGGTAGTACCCAGTGGCCTAGTTTACAGAACTCCCAGTCATCTTCTCCCAGGAGCAGAGCAGACACCTGGGTTACAAGAAGCAACTTCCAGCAAACGTTTTCCAAGGCATAGAAGTTTAATTCGGAACTGAGCACATATGCCCACCCTGCTATGGGTGTGATTCTAGAGACCATCAGGCAGAGCCCTGATACAGGCCTTAGCCAAAGGGAATCTCTCCTACTGCCTTTTAATTTTTGCTCATCCAGGAGCTAGGAGAATGGGAAGTCCACAGCAGGAGGTTTTGTTTGGAAATGTTTACCTGGGAGATTTCCCATCACTAATGCTCGAAGACAAAGGACACTGTCTTGGAACAGCCTTCTTCTTTCTCCTTGCACAGACCAGGAGCTCTTCTTGTCCAGAGGCACTCCTGAGGAGGCACACAAGTATAAGAAATGGTGGGAGAGTGGGAGTGAAATAGCAGGGAATCAACTCTTTCCAACAAGTATAGGCTGACCATTCCCATGTCCCCTAAGTGACAGCTGCCTGCACAGCACAAATTCATCCAGTGCCTCAAACTGGGCAGATGAGAAATGTGACAGCATGATACATCAGAGCTGAGTAATTTATTGTCATGTAAACTGTTAGGTCACAATTGCTCTCCTTGCAGCATCTGTGCAGATGTTTTGGGAGAACAGACACATCAGTCTCCTTCACAGGGAGCAGTTTACTCCTCCTACTGCATTAGCTTTGTCAGGAGGCATCTGGATACCAAGGAGGAAAGCAATGCACTGTGAATTTGCTTAAGGAGTTTTTCAGTTTAAATGCCTCCTGCTCATAACTGCATACACGTTATGTAATAAAGATGTTGTTGATCAGAAGTAACTGGAATCTTACCAGCATCAACAGCATGGGTGTTAGTGCTCCTTCTCTCACAGATGGCTTGTTTTTAAATCTCAGCTTATTTCACTACTGCAACTTTCCCCCAAGACCTGGTTTGTCAGCCCTGAGATATCCTTTCTCCTTCTCATTCGTTCATCAGCAGACCATAGAAAGAGTACTTGAACTGCAGCTGTCCATTATGTTTCTCTTTAGTGGAGCAGTCTCAAAGTTTTTTCCAAAACCTGCTGTTTCTCCCTTCTACAGCAGGCTTCTGCCAACAAGCTGTGCAGATTTGCAGAAAGGCTTCAGCATAACTTACCTGTGGGGTCTGATTACAGTTCAATGGGGTTGTAATTTTGTTAAAATCCTACAGGCTGAGGTACAATTCATGAATTTAACACAATGCTTGGCATGGAAGTGTGCCTTGGACTTTTATATTCACAATCCTCTTCATTTCACTTGTAGTTGCATAGCATATCACAGATGTTCCCGTAGGTTGCATTTGTCCCTAAGCTCTTTAATATTGTGTAATTTTGCTAAACTTTACAGGGATGGGGAACCTTACTAAACAGGAACTATACATTTCTGCCTCCAGTTTTCCTGAATCAAGATAAAAGAAACAATTAATCACTTCCTTGGATAACATTTCCCACAAATGCTGGCTCCTGTAGCAATAAAGCCTGTGAGCCATTTGTCATAGTAGACCAGTTTGTCACCACCAGAGTCCCTAGAATCCAAAACCTTATGATTCCTGACTTAACTTTAAGCACAAAGGTCCCTCTTGTTTAACGCTCCATCCTAGTGATGAAACTGGCTTGATCCCTCTGTGATATGTCCACAGAGTGACTCTTTCAATCCTGACTGCCATGTAGGCGATGAGTACAATCTGGAGACATGCAATCCCTGTATTGATGCACCGGAACATCTAAGGGCAGCATCATGCTGACTGTGATGTATGTGCAGGGAGAAAGCAAAAACGTCCCTAAAGAAATGACATATTCCATTAAATAGCATTTCCCTGGTTTCTGTTCTCTAATAAGGTTACACTTATTATTTAAAAAGGGTTGACATTTTCTTTAGTTCCTGGCTGGATGTGTATCCATAGCAAGGCTAAGGATAAAGCACCCAGCCATCTTATATTGAACCTCTTGACAAACTTTACTCATTTGTTTTTTTAAGCTTTGATTCATCCTTCCTGCTTTTTCAGTTGATTGTAGTTTCCATGGAGTATGGAGATCATAATTTATCCCTATTTCTTTAGCTAGATTTTGAACTACTTCTGCTATAAGGTGTGAACTCCTATCTGAAGATGGTCCTATAGGTACCCCTTGGTGTTATTACCTTAAGCAACACTTCTGCAACTTCCGTGGCCTTCTTGTGCATCAAGGGAAAGATTCTGGCCAGCCTGAAAAAGTTTCTGTCATTACTAAAAAATATAAATACCCGTTTTTGCTGTAGTAACTCAGCAAAGTCTATTTGCCAATAATGGGATGTTTCCGTTGCCCCCTGTGAAGGTCTTCAGAGTTAATGAGGATTGTTCTTTAAAAACAATTCACATTTCTTTACTGCACTTTCGGCTATCTCAGTCATTCATGCACTTAACTCTTGTATATTTAGCACTTCTGTCATTTTGCTTACCCAGTGAGTTTCCTCATGTTTTTTATCAGTCAATTCACGCATAATTTCCTGTGTGACTATTTACTTGGTGTGAAGGGCTCATCCACCATCTTTCTTGATTTTTTTTTTTTTTTTTTTTGCCTTCAGAAGATTAGCTAATTGCTCCTCTTCTGATGTATATGGTAAGCCTTATGCCTCAATGTTTGGATTTTCTCCAGTAGGACCAACAATATTTGACTCTTCAAAGCTTCCTTCACAGCCCTACCCACCATCTGTTTTCCTGTATTTTATTGGGTTGTTTCCAGTCTGATGTGCACTAGTGCATGATTGCCACTGCTTCAAGCAGATCGATAGCTTGTAAGCTGTTGATCCACATTTGACTGAAGATCCTTGAGATGTTATAAGTCCCCTTTGTCTACAGTTGTCCCCATGATCATGGAATACCCTGTAGTCAAACTCTAAATCTGTCCAGATATAAACACTTTTGTCCTTTGACAATTCTAACACTCTTAGTAAGGCTGTGAGCTTTGCTTTCTGCACTGAAATGTTAGTCATTTCCTTAACTGTTCCTCAGTCATTTCCTTAACTGTTACCACTACATTCCCCACTTTCCAGTTTCCATCTTGCATGAAGCTGATATACATCTACAGGTCCCATTCTGCATTTTCCATTGGCATGTCTTTCAAATCTGCTCTGCTGGAGTATGTCTGGTGGAAAATGGTGTCAATGTGTCAATGCTAAATATTTGTATATGGAGAGCATTGATGTCTGTGAGAATGCAATGTTCTTTCTTTCCCATGGTATGTACTTGTTTCTCAGGTGTGTTCAGTGCTGGGTTTGATGCTGGCATGTGCTGCATTTGTGCTTAATTCAGGAGGCAAATCTGACAGATTTTATTGCTGGGTGTAGAGTTGTGAGTTTATTCCACTGCATCTGACGAAGACTCAGTCTGTATCCAAGTTTCAAAGTCTATCTGGGAACTAATAAATACAAAGCAGACCTTTTAAAGAAAACATACAAAAATAGTCCTTAGAGCTTAGATAACCATCCTACAGCCATTGCTATCTTCTCCTTTGTAAAGAAATCAGGGTGCCTGGGACTCAGTGTGATACCCACTTTCTGCTTAGGGAAAACTTTTTCAAATACAGTGCTGCTCAGAAGGTGGTTTGGGAAATAGTCAAGTACAGTGGATGTCACAAAGATGCAGCTGGTATGTTATTTATACATATTTATATAACTCTGACCTGTTATTTTTACTTCATCTTCTTCTCTGCTCTGCTCAGCAAATTTACTCATATGCAAATAACATTTAAGCTAGGAAAGGAAAAACACAAGTTTTTCTCTCTGTTCCTCACTCTTCTAATGGATGGGCTAAAAAAATTGGATGTTCAAAGCAAATAGAGGAATATGAGCCTTCTGAAGAGCACTGCTATCAGGAGCTAGGTTCTGAACATGGGGAGGAAAACATTCCCTCCAGAACAGAAGAGAACAAAGTGTCTATGTAAGGACTAGTAAGAACCTTGTTTGCTTAGCCTGCCTAGGAGACCTTGTGCAAGGGAACAGATTGATTTTGTTTCCTGAGCAGCAACAGAAGAAGCTTTTGATCAAAAAGCTTTGGATCTACATGTAGAAGGGAACCACAAGTCCACAGCTCTATGATATCTTATATGCACTGGGTCTGTATGGAGGAGGACTGTGAATCTGTTATGTCCTCAGAAAGCACCTTTTTTTTTTTTTTATTTTTCCTGCACAAGAGGAAATAGCTAAAGATCAAAACAGAAACTTTCAAATCCTATTACCATCAAAGAGAGTACTGTGTACTAGCAGAAGAACTAGTGAGGAACTTCTATCAGTGCATCTTTCACAGCAATACATTGCACTTTCTGGAAATAACGTAGAAGTTGGATTCGGTCACAAAGCTGGACAATAGTACTTTCTTGGTAACAGTTTCTAATTGCTCCTAGTTGCTACAGGATTTGTGTCAGCTTCTATTTTGCAGCTGGGAATATTTGTTATTCATCTATCTGTTCTTGATGGGTCACAATATCAGGTGAAGCAGAATCCAACATATTCTTTTGTGAATTAAAATGAACATTGTCAACATTTGGACTGACAGCAAGTTTTGGAAATCTGCTGACTGCATTAATGTTTATTATGGTTTATAGTTTAAACATTAAGTGCAAGTTAGATGCCAGTCAAAATACTACAGATTTTTTACTACAGATTCACCATCCATAAAAATGGAAAGACAAAAGGCATATTCACATTTTCATTTCCTTGTTCCACAGGACATGTATTGTAACTGAAATGTGTGTACTCTGCAGAGATGCAAAGGCAATAGGAATAACAAATCACGAAGTTCTCCAGAGAAATCAAAATGGCTGCTGTTTGAGTCCTTTGAAAAGCTTTCATTGGCTCATTTTGTCTGAACAAGTTAACACAACTGTACTCAATTAAACAACACTTCCATTACAGAATGTGTCACTTTGACACTACGCATAGCCTTAATTTCCATATCAGACATGCTATGGCCATAACATGAGCTCATGAGGCAACCCTCAGAAGCTGTTCCAGTTAGGAGTGATTTCAGTAGTTGAGAATATAAGTACTCAGCTGGCGCCATGCTTCTGAAGTCAGTTAAAGGGAACTGAGGGCATTGTGCCACTATCTCTTTTAAAAACAAGGACTAAAGAAATTTTTTCTGCTATATGACCTTCTCTGTAGGTCTATATTGCTTGTAATCAGTCAAGACACCAAAGTTCAAAAGTAAGTGCTTTGGCTTGTGTTCTACTGTTCTCACAGCAAACTTACAATTTATCACTAATCCTTTTTATATATATCTTGTATAAGCCCTAATTAATATTTAATTCCTTACCAAAGTCTTCCATTAGTGATCCACTTTATTTCTGGGAGGCATAGGGCCATCACAAGTAATATGTATCATTTTTTTGACAGTTTTATGGTTCAACTGGAACAATTTGCAGAGCTGTCCATCAGTATCTTCCCTGCAGCTTCACAGCTCTTCTATTTTAATCGTGGACTGCAGAACAAAGCCCTTAAGTCATACTTAGAAACTGAAGGAATAGAGTTCAGAAGATCCAGTGCAAACATTTTACCTAATGATTTATTAATTTGTTTTACTTTATTTTGCAAGGCTTAAAACTAATGTGTTAAAGGAATAGCAACGCTTTAGAGATATTTCAGCATTGCAGGACTTGAAGTATTTCAATGTCTGAGTTCATCAGATCTTCTCTACAAGTAGCAGTACTAACCATCACTTCTATTCTGAAAATGAATAGGGGATGACAAAGACCAGTGCTGTCCTAGTGTGGGCTGGACAGTCCTCCATGGAAAGTGGTTAGAAGCGTTCTTGCACCTTCTGAATGTCTGGGCATCATCTGGTGGTAAGGAGCAGGAGAGGACAGAAGACATCATAAATTTCAGCCTGGGCAGTCCTGCAGGCATGCTGCTTTCAAAATAGAAAATTATCTGTGCTCTCTCTCCTCCAGGGCTATTACACAGAACAACCTCTAGCTGTTTGTGAAACTGCCTTGCCGCTTCTTTGTCTTCTCCAGGGGACTGTCTGCTGCTTGCATACAGGTATATAATGGCCCAGGTTTATAACAACCATTTACAAATCAAATGATAAATTAATGGTAACAATTTGAATCATAGAATGGCCTGGGTTGAAAAGCACCATAATGATCATTGAGTTTCCCCCTGCTATGTGCAGGGTTGGCAACCACTAGATCAGGCTGTTCAGAGCCACGTCCAGCCTGGCTCTGAATGCCTGCAGGGCATTTGCAACATCCTCTCCGCTTCATTGCCATTCCAAATGACTGTTTGGGATACTCATACCTTGGCCAGTACTTTATACAACTTGCCAAGGTAGCCTACCCTTCGTCTAAACATTAATGACCAGTTCCAGGGCATGAGCCCCTTATCAGCTGTCCTTGATTCCATAGAAAATTCGGTATTGGCAGGAGGAGCCTGCTAAAGCACAGAATGCATGCATGTGGAAAGAAAAACTTGTGATTTGAACCTAAGACTATCCATCCTTAGCCTGATTCTGAATGAGAGGAACGAGTTCTGAAAACTATGTGTTCATAGTGGTATCCAGACTAAAGCAAAATGAACTTGTACACTATGCTATTCTGTTGCTTGAAAAATTTTTGCTACCCTTGCCCTCAGGTTGTTAGTCCAGTGATGAAGGTGTAGACTACACTTGTTATTAGGTAATTCATGGGAGAACTTCTCAGGGCATGGTTTTCCCATTTGTACAATGTTGGAATGGATGTGCTGAAGTTAACCAAGTACTTATTTTCAAGGAACTGTATCTCTCTCTCTCTCTCTCTCTCTCTCTCTCTCTAAAAAAAAAAAAAAAAAAAAAAAAAAAAAAAAAAAAAAAAATCATGAAATTCCTGCAGCAGTGCTCCGGTACCTTCACAGCACAGAAGTGCTTCCTGATGTTCAAAAGGAACATCCTGTCTTCCAAGTTGGGCCCATTTCCTCCTGTCCTGGAGTTGGGCACCACTGAAAAGAGCCTGGCTCTGTCTTCTTTGCAAACTCCCATACTCCCTTCAGCTATTATAGACCTGATGAGATCATAGAATCACAGAATGGCTTGGGTTGGAAGGGACCCCAAGGGTTATCAAGCTCCAACTCTCCTGCCACAGGTGAAACTACCAACCTCCATATCTAGTACTAGACCAGGCTGTCCAGGGCCCCATCCAACCTGCCTTGAACGCCTCAAGGGACAGGGCATTCACAACTTCTCTGAGCAGCCTGTTCCAGCACCTCACCACTCTCTCTGTAAAGAACTTCCCTCTGGCATCCAGAATAAACCTTCTCTCTTTGAGCTTACAACCGTTTCCTCTACTCCTGTCACCTACCCATGTAAAAAGCTGATTCCCCTCCTTTTTATAATACCATTTTAAATACTGGAGGGCTGCAATGAAGTCTCCTCTCCGCCTTCTCTTCTCCAGGCTGAACAAGCCCAGCTCCCTCAGCCTGTCTTTGTAAGGGACCATCTTCTTGACCCTCTTCTGGACCCTCTCCAGCAGCTCTGTATTTTTCCTGTATTGGGACACCCAGACCTAGATGCAGTACTTCAAATGGGGCCTCAAAAGGGCAGAGTAGAGAGGGACAATTATCTCCCTGTACCTGCTGCCACTCCGCTTTTGATAAAGGCCAGCATACTATTGGCTTTCCAAGCTGCAAGAGCACAGTGCTGGCTCATGCTAAGTTTTTTATCCATCAGTTCTTCTAGTTCTAGTTCTTCTCCTCAGCAAGGCTGTTCTCAATAAGTATTTCCCTGTTTGTATTTGTATCTAGGATTACTCTGACCCAAATGCAAAACCTTGCACTTTGTTATGTTGAACCTCATTAGGCTCACACAGGCCCACCTTTCAAGTTTGTTAAGATCCCCTGAGCCTCCTTCAGGCTTGAAAGTCCCACCTCTCTCAGCCTTTCCCCACAGAAGAAGTACTCCAGTCCCTTCATCTTTCTGACGACTCTTTGATGGACCCTATCTAGCGGTACATGTCTCTCTTGCACTGGGGAGCCCAGACTTGGATACAGCAATCCAGATGTGGCCTCATTAGTGAGGAAATGGGAATGATCACCTCCTTCAGTCCGCTAGTGATACTTTCCCTGATGGAGCCCTGGATGCCATTAGCCTTCTTTGTAGCAAGGGTACATTGCTGGCTCTTGCTGATGTCCACAGGGATCCCCAGTTTCTTTTCTGCAAAGCTGCTGTACCCTCCCAAAATTAATTATTTTGTTTTTAAGGGAAATTCAAAAAATTCTGCTTACCATACTGGTGGCTTTGACCTTCTCTGAATTACGAGTCTTCTAGCTAGCTTAGATTAGAGTGTCCTGTTGGCTTGCCCAGTTGCATTTTAGTTCCAACAGATGCTAGCTGTCATAGGTCAGAGAGAATTTCCCTCTGTTTTCCTCTGTCAGGCTGCAGCTCAGTGGCACTGTATGTTAGGCAGGCACTGACACTCATCTTGTTGTGATGCACAGTGGAACACTCTTGGCACTTCGTACCACTTCTTGCTGTTCATCGTGTTTTCATTTCATCTTCACATTTGTGGCTCTGGAAATTTCCTGCTGAATTTTCACCCCTGAAGCCAAGGGAGTATCCTGGCAATTTATGTTTATCTTTTTCACCACTTTTGTTTCAAAACAGCTGTATCCATGTCTGGATGATGGTTAAACTCTGCTTGCCCCACCCTGTACATTCCAATTCAACACATGTTTTGCAGCCTTCAGTGTGATTCTTCATTTACTTCCCTGTGCAGTTAATGTGGGCTGATTAACTATTCATATAGATGAATCATGAGCTCAAGTATGATATGCATGATATGAGCTCATGTATGATAAGTATGATATCTGAATATTATAATACCTCATTGAGGAACAGAAAGCTAACATATGACCTGCTGCACATATTCTAGAGGCCTGCAGAGGAATTGTAATATCTTCTGTCACCTTCTGTTTTATCCCTGAAAATAATACAATTCTTCCCATCATTTTTGTAATTCTGCCTTAATCATAACCAGTTTGAACATTTTCCTTGTTACTGTCTATATGGTAAATTTTAGAGGAATACATGCATACAGCAAACAAAGTCTAACTGGACATAGTCAAAGCATTATTCTCCTATTTTCCACTCCCAAATGGAAAAAGAAAGGAAAATGTGTGGAAGCTGTCCGACATTACTGAAGCCATCCAGAACGTAGACTTCAAAGAGCAAGCTTAGAGAACTCCATCTTCCTTCACTAATGACAGAAAAATCTTTGAACTAGTCACCTAGTTCAAAGTTAGCTTGATGGAGTTGGATCTTGGATCCATCTTGGATGGAGTTAATCCTCCACTAAGTAGTTTATCTTACTTTTGCCTGAAACAAGTGTAGCAATCTCTCAGCTCTGCTTGCAAAACCTAAGGCAACATTGCAAAGGCTGTGACACAACAAAGGTTCTTCACTGTCAAATCTCGAGTGTATGCACAGAACTCAAAGCCTGTCCCCTTAACATATTACCTTTCTTAATTAATAATGGCAGCTGTTTTGCATTTTTTTTTCATTTCCTCTCTCAATCACAGTGCTCATTATAACATCGTTATTCTTCTCATTTTTTCCTTTCCAAGTGCTCCTTTAAAAAACAACAGAGAAGATTTTTGACCATAATGACATCAGGTTTTCTCCTTACACTTCTTGGCCAGAGGCACAAGAAGTATTGATGGCTCTGCTTGTCCTCAAAATGTCTGAACTCATCGCATTCACAAAACCATGCAGTAAAAGAAGTGTACAGATCTCTGTGGCTGTCAGACTGGCATTTAACAAAAATAAAACATTGTAACATAAAGAAGAAAGTCAACTTTGCTGATGGTCTTCATGCTTCTCTTACAAATACAAAGATGTCCACAGGGGAGATGGACAAGTCCACCAACTGAGTAAAAACAAGATCTCGCCTGAAAGCACTGATTTGTGCTTTTTGTGGCAGAGTTATTGTTTTCTTAAAGCGACTGCTTTTCATATAACAGAAGGTAGATTTTGTTTTTCTTGCATTACCAGAAGATTCTGTTGTTGACTTGTCATCCATTTAGAGGGGAATGGACAGCTGGTCTCCTTTGGCACCTTGGAAGTGCTCCCCCTCCATATACAAATATAAGCTGTTACAGGAGGTTAAAAAACGGTATAACTCAGATCTCTCAAAGTAACGACTTGTTTCAGGAGCACTGGAGCTTTGGTCAGTTATATTGCAGTGTCTTTATTCTTTGCCTCTCAGCACATTTATATTCTACCAGTCCCACAGCTGTCTTTCTCAGTGCACTTTGAGAGCCAGCAATTAAGTAATTACTACTAAAGTGGATTAAAAATAATTTTAGCCAAAGTCTGAGTTTTGGGCTAAGTGGTTCTGTTTGCAGAGAGGTGGTACTATTTTCTGAGAGTAAATAAAGTCCTCTCTCTGCTTTTCATATAAATCAACCAAAAATTGAAATATTTTATGAAATAGATGTGCCGTGATGAGATTTCATGGGAGATGTCACTGTGCTGCTTGCTCTCCTTAGGCTGTCGTATGTCACTACAGTCACACAACACTCCTCCTCATCATCAGCCGTGTCAGGGAACTTAACTTAGGTTTGGGTCAATATTTATTTTTGTCAATTTGATGTTTTTTGTTTTGTGTATTAATTTTGGTTGTGTAATTAGTGTTGTGTGAAATTAATGTATCTTGTGAAAATGTTCATGCTTTTCTGACTGACTAGAGAAATGGCTAAGAAAAAATGGCTCTGAGCCATTCAAAACAACACTGCTGAGAGATATTGGCACAATGTGAGTACAAGCTCTGTGGCAATAAGTCAGTGAGTAGTCAGTGTTAGTAGAGAGATAATACTTTTCTTTTTCAAACAGGAGAGAAGTTACCAGACGTTGCAGTGGTTTCCTCTGGAGAGAAATATTCCTTGAGAAGAATTCTGTCAAAGTGTTCAGCTGGTGAGAACTCCAAGCACCTTTAGAGTGCATCCTTGTACACCATTAGTCCCTGCTGCTCTGAACTTGCACATCTGCTAGATTTGCCTCAAGTCGAAAGAAGAAAGTATACCAATTTCTTATGTCCAAGTAGAATTTCAACAGGACTACTGAGACCTGTCAGAATAAATTCTGACTTCTTCACATCATTCATTTTAGTCTGCAATTTTTCAAGATTCTGTGTGCTTGTTTTTTGGCAGAAGGGCTCCTGGTGACCATTTTCCAGTGAAATCTGGTGCAAAACAGTGCTTCATTTCAAGTGAAATTATGGTTGTGAATATGTCTTGTTGTGAAGAAAATAATACTTTGTGGATTGCTATTTGATAATTGTCGACATTCATTTTGACAATGAAATCTTCAGCTACTCCAGTAGCAGTACAAATTTTGCACGTTGAAACACATTCCCAGGACTCTTTGCCTTAATAAGAGTAGTAGAAAAGCCAGATAGAGATTACTGATTTGAGTTTTAGTTTCCTTAGAATTGATCAGGTTTTATCAGCCTATAATAGGTCTCTATTGAATTACAAAAAGAGTTGTTCCAAACTGAAGGTCACTGAAGCAGAAAAGAGTGATGCTATTTGACTCTCATGTACAGCGTAAGGTGTATCAAGAACATTGCCATCAGTGACGTTTTGACTTTAAAAAGATGCTCCAACTTTGAAAGATGGATCTTTGTCTCACACTCTGGGTACTGCATCACCTCAATGGGCATCTTCCTTAATGTACTGTTATTCAGCATGTGACGACTGCCTCATTATCAGATTGTCATGGTTTTATCCCTTTAAAACAGAAGAACAAGGAAGAAGGGACTGTACCATAGATTATACTACTGAACTGAAGAAATTCTGTGCTCAGTTTTTGCTGAAGCTGTGGTTGATGCAGGCTTCACAGCCTCTTCCCACCCATCACTTAAAATCTCACTCCCCAAAATGCCTTCATGTGAATCATCTTAGAGCACGGGGCACTGCATCTACATGCAATGGCCCCCTGAGTTCCATCCACATACATGCTCCACATCTCCCGCTCCTCCTGGCCTCCATCCAGTGACTAATGGATGAGGGAGCAAACACTGATGGCATTTAAGGTCCCAGAATAAGACAGAGGCACAGCCCAGGGTTTGCACATGGCTTTGCTGCAGGTAGTGCAGGAAAACCATCCCTGTGAATGCACTGCTCCATGTGAGACCTTTCAAGACATACTGTACTCACATTTGAACAAAGGGTGATGACCTGGAAGTGTTTCTGTGGTGGTTAAGCATCTGCCAGAGATGCAGCAAAGCTGTATTCTTAATATTCTTCTGAAAACTACTTTACAATGCAAGATCACCAGTAATTTGTACTGAGTGCTGAGTGCAAGAGTCAAACAAAACATGGGATCCTAACTACATTCAGCATGGTACTAACACAGATCAATAGCAACCCCCTGTTTTGATGAAGCTATAATCCTCACTGATGAAGCAGGTCTGTGCAGTCTAATAATACAATACTTAGTCCCTCAGCATCCTCAGAAGAGCCATTCCTTCATTGCACAGAAGAAGAATTAAGAGAATAATAACATTTTGCTGTTAGTAACATCTCAGCTGTAGGAGGTTATACCAGATCTCTTGTGGAATCTGAGAGGTTGGCAGGCTAGTGTTCTCCAGGTGGATTCCAGGTGAATCACTTGAAGATATGCCCAATTTTACAGGGATGGAGGTGACAGTTGTGTGGAGCCCCCAGCACAAGAAAGATGTGGAGTTGTTGAAGAGGGTCCAGAGGAGGCCACAAAGATGCTCAGAGGGCTGGAGCACCTCCTCTATGAAGACAGGTTGAGGGAGCTGGGCTTGTTCAGCATGGAGAAGGCTCCAGGGAGAACTCTCTGTGGCCTTCCAGTAACTAAAGGGAGCTTACAACAGGAGGGACACTGATTTCTTACCTGGGCAAGAAGTGATAGGGCAAAGGAGAATGGCTTGAAACTAAATGTATATATGTATGTATGGAGTGTAAGGTTAGTTGCCAGGAGGAAATTCCTTCCTCAGAGTTTGGTGAGGCCTGGCACAGGCTACTCAGGCAAGCCATGGATGCCTATTTAACCCAGATACAAGCTTGTAGATGTTTTTACTTCTGACAACCAATTCCTTGGCCAGTCTGTTGCTTTGAAGAACAAAAATTGAATTTGGAGTCAGTTTATTTTCACACTGATTTTAACTATGTTACTGTTCTTCTTCTACTTGAACTGGAGTGTGTATGCCATAAAGCATTCCATCCAGTAGCAGGTATCCTCTGATGTATTGTGGTTGCATAATTCTGTGAAATACAGTGCACCATGGGCAGCATAAATTCAAAAAGGAAACAAGGTCTTCCCTGGATTATACAAAGGAACAGCAAGGTTATAGACCTAGGCTGTTAGCATCACTCTAACAAACATTCCAACTTGGAAAAATCAGATTCAAAGCAAAACAATTTCCTGTTGTTTCCACTTATTTTCTCAGAGAGTGTTGGAAAAATGAAAATGTGCAGGACAAAATCTTTATGCTGAAATCTTTACTTTCATCTTTAACTACTTCACAGAAGAATTCATATCTAACTTCAGCTTGGAAATGCTTCATAGCCATGCCTCACTGCACCTCCTTAACTTAAAATCATGTTTAGTTTGCTGCTGTTTTTGAGAGGTCAGGCTAGTTCCTGGCACCAAAATGTTCTTATGGCGTGATTCTTCTTACCTTGTCAGTTTTCTCCTGAGGGAAAGCTCAACTCAAACTTCCATCAGCAGCAGAACCAGGCTGGATCCAGTAAGCTTAGGAATAGGTTTTCTGCTAGTAACCTCCAAGACTGTCTTTTCATCCCTCAAAATTTGCCATGGGCAACTTTGTTAACTTCCAATATCAGTTCTATTCAGACAACTCATTCTAAAGTCTCTTTCTTCCATGCAGACCTATTCCCTTCTACTCATATTTTAACAACATGGATAGAAGGTATTTTGATTTCACCTCCCGAGCTGTAGCATTGCCTCTGTGTTGTGCAACAAAAAGGGCATCTTTTTTTACTTTCATGGCTTTTCTTTTATTCCCACGCTTATACAACAGTGTAATGATGGGAAATTAGGAGCAGTTCTGTTTTGATCGAAGCACTCATCCCTTTGCTTAGATGTGTTCATGCTGTACTGAGCACACATAAAGGAGATTCTCTGTCTGAGCACATGCACCAAAAAAGTCACAGGAAAATGGATTTTGTGAGCTGGCTTGTCTGTCAGGAGAGAATTTAGCACACTTGGTTGTTCCTGTCAGATGCCCACTGTAAATCTATTTGCCTTGGTATTTAATTGCCTGGAATACTGTCAAGGAATTCCAGCGCATGATGTTTTTCCTATTTCAAGGCTCAGATATATTTTCTGTTAGATGCGTATATCCATTCCTCCTGCTGCAGAATCAGTCCTTGGTGAGAAAAGCAAAGTTGTTTCATCCCTGAATATTTTGACATGCTCACTCTGGTGAGGACCAAGCAATAGTTAAAACAGATGCTTTTGAGTAAGCTTGTTTTACTCAGCACGTGGAGAGCCAGGAGGATTCTTCCCCCACCCCACAGCCACGGCCACCCTGCCTCTTGCCTTTCCTCCTTCTCCTGCACTCTCACACATTCCCCCAGAGGCAAGGGTGCGGGTGTCTGTAAATGTGAAAGTCACCTGATAGGATGCTCCCGCTCTCATCTCTCCGCACAGCGTAAGCTCTTCTCTCCTGGTGACTGTGGAAGCAACTCGCCAGGCTTTGCTCTGCTTAGCAGGCTGCAGAGTTTGCTGCAAATGCAAAACTGAAGTCCATCTTTGCACCTCTTACTTACCAAGGGGTTTCAGTGTCTTCTTGATCTCAGTTCCTGGCTTACCTCAAATCTCTCTTCTCAAAAGGTGTGTTCTGCTTCTGGCGATGCATCCCACGAGGCGGCTATGTTGGTGTCTCCCTGCTTTTGGTGCGTGGGCACTCATGCTCACATTCTTAATTACAGGTAGGCTGTCTTTGGTGTTAGTCTTGTAAAGTATTTTCTAGCCTCTGTTTCTGATTCTATGGAATGAATGCAATTTAAAGCTTCTATTCTAATATAGAATATTCTATTCTGTTCCTAACTTGAAGCTTGTAAGATTTCAACAGTATTTTGAGAGAGCTACAACAATATTAATTTTCACAGCTAGAATTCTTCATTTTATTCTGAGAACTAATTGAGGAACTGTTTCTAGCAAAGAATGACAATGATAGAGAAGCTCTCACAATTTTGCTCGATGCTTGAATTTTGAATTTTGCCACTGCTTTAATAATGCACACTGAAGCACATTCTGTGCTCACATTTCCAAAAGTGAGAACTCCGATGCATTTCATTCACTGCTGTTTGCAATCTGTTTCTGGTGCAGTGATATCCATGCATCTCACTGAATTTCAGCAGGATTCCTGCTGTCTTTTCTGAATGCCTGCAGGACCAGGACATTTCTGAGTTACAGCATTTATATTAGCAGAGCACAAAGTCATTGTCATAAAGCAACACCAAAAGGATGAGCATCTGCAACCGGAGTATAAAAACGAGAGGCCTACATATTTGCCTGCTTCTATTACTTTAAGTCTGTTACTAAGCCAGCAGGAAAAATTCAGACCAAACATGATTTTAGACTCACTGGCTTTGGATGTGAGACTATGGCAGGAAACCCGTGTTCCCACAGCAGGGGACTTCTACTCACAGCCTGATGGATGGCTCTAAGGAGATCTGAAAAGGAAACTGCAATTTCCTTTTTAAGTGACACAAAACACAATGTTCAAACATCCAAATTCTGCAGACATTCGTGTCTCTTCTCTAGAAGTTGCAAAAAGGATGGAACAAAATGCCAAATCATGCAAGTTCTACTGGCATATTTGCTCATAAATGAAATCAGCAATAACCAAAGTTTCATCTTTAAATCATGATAATCCTCTGAATCTGAGCATGCTTTATTAATGCAGAAGGCTCACAACCAAGGAAAGAGTGGCCCAAACAATTAAAGTAATGTTTTTTAGAGTAAGCATATCTACCTGCAGGACATCTGTGTGATCACAGACCAGAAACCACACGATTTAATCTTTCCTTTTAAAATCAAAGTCTTTTGTTTCAAGCACTAGGAAAACGCCTGTATCAGATTTGGGGTGTATGTAACAGATTCAGAGCACTTTTGTTGTTTCTGCAGTGAGGCAGTTCAGGGCCTGCCCTACGCCTTTTCCTACTAAACTCTAATCTGTCCCATACTAATTGGGAGTTCCAGTTCTGTCGGATGTGCTTGTTCCCAAAGAGTGTTCTCTCTTACAAAACCTCCATCTTTTTCTCACTGAACTTAACAAATGGACATCCTTCAGAGCAGAAGTAAGCTCTGTATCTTGATACACAGAACGAAAGACTGGAGCAGCATGTTATTTAGCACCTACTTTCCCTCTTCCTTACCTCTGAAGTACTTTTTATCTTTACCAATGCAGACACCACAGCCTGCGAGTCAGAGGAACGGCTATTTCACAAACTCTTCTCCCACTACAACCAGTTCATCAGGCCGGTGGAAAATGTATCTGATCCCGTCACAGTGCATTTTGAATTGGCCATTACCCAGCTTACAAATGTGGTAAGATTGACTACAGAAGACTGCTGAGATTTGGGCATGATTGTAAAACACAGAAAGTGTTCCAACAACAGACGTACTCATGATGTCTGCGCATACAGCCCTCACAGCTGGTATTATCATGCCTGTGCCTATGTGTACACAGTGAGATGTTTGCCATTCTGTCAGCTGGGTCACTTCAGCTCCTCATACAGGCAGTTCACATTGTACAGATTCATTGGCTATCTCTATCATGTCAAATCCCTCTGCTCTAGGCAGCAGCCCCTGGCATATGGAGCAGCAGTACCAAATGTTCACAGTCACAGGGTTTGCCTACCCCAGGGACATGGGATTGTATTTGTGCTGTCTAACATGCAGCCTAGTTCTCCTGGGGATCCATTTGGATTTTATCAAGTGTCATGGGTTTGGGAAGGGCCTAGTTACCTTGCCCATTAGACAGGAGCCACACAAGGCTTTCAAAACTATCTTGTTGCTTAGTCCTCTGTACTCAGTGATAAAAATTATCTGCATTTTCTGTATTCTTTGGTCTGTAAGTATTTTAAAATTTTTGACATCATATGTTTACATATTAAGAACTACACAAAGCAATATTCTCACAGATATTTTCATTGGATATGTTAGGCTGCATTCATATATACTTATTACCTGTACCTTTCCAAACACTTTTAAACTGAAGGCTACTTAGAACAGGATCCCATCTTTTATTTTTGTGCTTTTTGCAGCACCCTTATGATTCACTGCTGGTTGACAACAGCAGTAAGTGACTCTAAAAATAAGTTTTCATTGCAGCAGTGATTTAACTTAGTGCAGGTTTAGTTCATATGCTGCACAACTTCGCATAGAAATACAAGAACTGTACTGCAGATGTTGTTTTCCTTGAATTTTGTCCAGTACTGTACTATGTAAAACAGAGTGTTTTAAAAACTGAGCCCAACAAAACACATGGACACCAGTAGAACCTTATTCCTCTGCCATTGATCAGAGCAGCTGTAAGTTTGTTGTCCTCCATACACTCAGGTCTCTGGCAAGTGCAACTCTCTTCCACACATGTGTGGGGCATAACTTTTCAGCAGAGCCTTAACATTTTTTTGGTAGAGCTGCAGTTGTCTGTATACAACTTGTAACCCCCACCCTGAAAATAACCCAGCTCTGTCCACTTACCTTTATTATCCACTCAAGTGCCACTGACCACAGGCAGAAAATAGCTGATGTCAGTTAATGTGGAATTCTGGTTTCTATTTTTGTCGGAATAAGACTGTGGCCATCTCAGCATACTATAAATGATATATGAGTGAAGATGTGCATGCCTGTGTTTCTTTCTAGGATGAAGTCAATCAGATTATGGAAACCAATTTGTGGCTAAGACATGTAAGTGACTGCATTGCATTTCTCATACACTTTGCATTAATGTGATGGAATGTTAGGTCTATATAATAAGTGTTCTGTAATATGGTTTAAGAGGTACAAATTAGGAGACACTACATTAGCAAAATTTGAATAAGTAATTTCTTCTTCTTTTTTTTTTTCTGAGAAGTTATATATCCCATCTTTCCTGTGTTCTGAGTTTTCATTATCACTGGTTTATCACTAGTAAATTTAGCTGAATATACACTTTAAGAGTGATTAAATACGCAACTCTGTGATCCTAAGTCAACTCCATATTAAAGATTCCAGTGAAAACATTTCTTATCAAAAAGAACATGCCTTAATTTCACCTGATGGTTTAAGCACATATGCATAAGCAAAGATCCCTACAAAATCTTAGCTGCTGAGAGAAACAAGCTATCTTTCACCAAAACAGTTTCCTCCAGACCCTGTTAGTGATCCACACAAAGTTTTCTTGAGAAGTTATGGTACTTAAGACCAGGCTGTGAGTAGGCTGTGAGAACTTGGACATAGCCCAGTGATAAATCACTAGAGAGCAATGACAGGTGTCTTTAGCTGCTACTGAGCTCATAATTCATTGCCCCTATAAAGTCAGTAATGTTTCCCAGCCACACCAACCTGACATTGTGCACAGGCACCTCCTTTCCCTTTAGGTAGTTTGTCTCCTTTGATGTTGGTCTCCCTTAGCCTTCAGGACCCAATCCAATATGGGCAGCAGCAAGGACCATGTTTCTTGCTTGCAGTGCAGAGTAGCACTGCTATACATTGAGGTAGCAAGCCAGAGGAGAGAGCTCAGCATGTCAGCAGTGAATCGCTGTTATCATAGCTCCTCACAGAGCAAGAGATGGCAAGACAATGTGAGCAATGCTCACCTATGCCCCCTGTTTCTCCAGCTTATGATTTTGATGTCTTTCAGATCACTCATGACTCTCTTCTACTCATGATTCTCTTCCAGTCTCTATCGCAACCTCCCATTCATGAGGAAGATCTGTGAGGCAGATACTTGCTGATAACACAATGTTTATACTTCTAATCCGTTCTTCTTTCAGATTTGGAATGACTACAAATTGCGATGGGATCCCAGAGAGTATGATGGAATTGAATTTGTTCGGGTACCAGCAGATAAAATCTGGAAACCAGATATTGTCTTATACAATAAGTATGATGAACACTTTTCCATTTTACTCCTTCTCTGAAAAGTATCATCTTGCTATATCCATAAGATACATTATTTTCCTCTTGTAGCATTTTCTTTTCTTTGCCTCTTTTGTCTTTCTAGTGCTGTGGGAGATTTTCAAGTTGAAGGCAAGACCAAAGCCCTTCTTCGCTACGATGGAATGATCACCTGGACCCCCCCAGCTATATTTAAAAGTTCCTGTCCCATGGATATTACTTTTTTCCCATTTGATCATCAGAACTGTTCCTTGAAATTTGGCTCATGGACTTACGACAAAGCCAAAATTGATCTTCTGATCATTGGCTCCAAAGTAGACATGAATGAGTTTTGGGAAAATAGTGAGTGGGAAATAGTTGATGCTTCTGGCTACAAACATGACATCAAATATAACTGCTGTGAAGAGATCTACACAGATATAACATATTCCTTTTATATTCGAAGATTGCCAATGTTCTACACTATAAATTTGATTATTCCCTGCCTCTTCATCTCATTCCTGACTGTGCTTGTTTTTTACCTGCCATCTGACTGTGGTGAGAAGGTGACTCTTTGCATCTCTGTTCTGCTTTCTTTGACTGTATTTTTACTAGTGATCACAGAAACAATTCCATCTACCTCGTTAGTAATACCTCTCGTGGGTGAATATTTGCTCTTCACGATGATATTTGTGACTCTCTCCATCGTCATCACTGTGTTTGTCCTAAATATACATTACAGAACTCCAACTACACACACAATGCCCAAATGGGTAAAAACTGTCTTTCTTAGCCTGCTCCCCAAGGTTCTGTTGATGCAGCGGCCTCTAGAACAGGAGAAAAAAAACATCTCCAAAGAGACCAAGAAAGGATCAGCCAAAGCATCAGGCAAAGCAAAGCACAGGAAACACAAAGATAACAAATTACATAAGGAGCACCGGTGTTGTCACTGCGATAAAGCAGCCGAACTCATCTCAACCAAAAGAAGTCAACTGAGTCATCAGTCATTGAAATGGATGGCAGAGCACACAGAGTACTCCCCAGAAGTGAAAGATGTCATCAACAACGTTCAGTTCATTGCAGAGAACATGAAGTCTCAAAATGAAACCAAAGAGGTAAGGGAGGTAGCAAGCTGAGCACAAGGTCACGCTTGCAGAATTTCAAGGAAGAGTAGCAAGCAAGGCAAACAACTGTGATGTAGGGTTTCAGTATGTGTTTCAGTACGGTGATTTCTGACAATTTTTTATATTTTTGCAGTGGTTTGACTCACTGTGCCTTCAGCAAGACATCATTTCCAATTTTAAAATAAAAGTTCTGAGTTTGGGGGAGGCAGATAAACAAAAACAGACAATAGGTGAATAAGATCCACACACACACAGGCTTTTTTTAATTAAAAAAAAAAAAAAGAGAATTGTCATTTGAACAAATAGATTAGCTTGTGTAAGGCTATAAATCCTTCATCCTAGCTAGGATTGCTGTCATAGAAGGTAATGTACATTGGAATCTTAAGAATGCAAGAGCCAATTTTTTGGGAGTAAACACAGAACTAAAAGCAGCTCCAATGAAGATTATCTCACATAAGCACTTGCCAAAGCCTCATAAAGAATTAAAACCCTGACACTTCAAGATGGTTTGTTTTTAAAGAGTTTTGATCCTAATGAAACATTTACTTTTGCTCTAACTTTAAATGTGGATGCTTTTTAGATGCTATGAGAAGACAAATTCCATTTCAAAATTAAAAGCTACTGTATTTCTATCACAAAAAAGCCAATATTTTGCACGATAATTATTGAGAGATATTCTTTCAATCCAAATATTTGGTTGAAATCAGCACCAATTTATACAATTTCAATGCAACCCCAAAATTCATTCTTCCTCCCTCCTCTCCCCCTCCCCCCCATGTTTTTTTTTAATGTCCTGCATAAAATTCACCTGAAAACAAAGTGCATAACTTTGAATATTGGGCTATAGCTAAGGCCTGGTGACAGGCTTCGTAGGATGAGACCAAAGAAAAGCACAGGAGTCCAGCAGTACACAGTAAGGCAGGGATTGAACTGAGTCTTGCTTAGTAACTATGCCCCTAATGCTTTGTTTCACCCCAGCATTTCAGCCCTGTTTTCAGTGCCACAGCATCAGAAAATATACCCTTGTACTGCATTCAGCTGATTTCTTCGATGCATTCCAAATAAGAGGAGACTTTGTGTGAAGCAGTTCAAGTAGTGTGCCACTTTGATTATGAAGCTCATGATAAGTCTTTCATTTCCAGTCATGCTGATTCACATTTTGCAAACCTCTTCTGCCACATGCAATTGTACTCTTAGTCTGGTGTGTGCATCAGCAGCTCTGCATCTCACCTTTCACAGTGCACCAAGGATTGGAGACAGGACTTCTCATGTGGGAAAAATCCTTTCTCTGTTTTTTTTTCTCCAATGAGCACTGAGCAAATTATTCCAGAGGCTTCTGCTCTGTTCAGATGTATACAGCTACGTGCATGCTGTTATGGACATGTCCCATATGAATAGAAGCCCTTTAAAAATGACAGATTTGTTGGAGTTGAAAGGAATCTCTGGAGATCATCCAGTCCTGCCCCCTGCTAAAGTAGATTCCCTATATTAGGTCGCATAGACAAGCAACCAGAAAGATCTTGAATATCTCTGGAGATTGTGGAAGAACTTAGGGAAATTGTGGAAGCACAACTGTAGCTAGAGTTCATGCTGTATGTCCTTTCAGAAGAACTGCAGCGAGGAAAGGAGGAAAACAAGTGGAGAGAACTCTTCAGCAGGGATCTCTTTACCACTCACTGGTTTTATGTGAATGAGTGCCCTTTGATGCAGTGATCCTCACGCACAGGCATGGTTCGAAGGACAGTGACTTCACTGAAAGCTGTTCCAGCGTGTATCCCCGAAACTTACATTCACTCCAGCCTGTTCAGCACATGGCACAGCTTTGCGTAGTCAGGATGTTTGCTTTTCTAACGCTCATGTGCTCAGCTGTCCATTTCACTGGAGGCAGAGTGTTTAACTGGAATGGCAGTGCAGCCAATCATGCCAGAGCAGCAGGCTGTCTCGTATGTGGGCAGCCAGACCAGATCCTTTGGCAGGATCCAGCCATGTGCAGCTGCAGTGACTCAGCCTCCTGCCACATCACCTCAATCTATACCCGTCACATGGTCTCATTCTATTTGCTGCTGTCAGACACAGCCACATTTTGCCAACCGACTGGAATTCTCAGGAAAAAAAATCAGTAGAAGATTAGGAGAATGCTTAATGTTCTCACCCAGAAGTTATAAATACTGTTAAGAAAATAGACCCCTCTTAAGAAAACTGAACAGCTATAAACACCACAAGCAATGTTTCTGCCAGGATGTATGTTCTTCCTTGTTCAAAAGCAGAAGGGACATTTTTTACCATTAAATGCTAACTCACAATTATATGTTACATTACGTAATCTATCCTTTTTTTTTTTCTCTTTCAGGTGGAAGATGATTGGAAATATGTAGCTATGGTGATTGACAGAGTATTTCTCTGGGTGTTTATAATCCTTTGTGTGTTTGGGACTGCTGGATTATTTATCCAGCCACTAATAGCAGATGCATAACTTGAGTCACTCCTTTTTTTTCCACGTATGTTTGTATTCCATTTTCAGTTTGGAGCTGCCCCCTGTATTTCTCTCCTCTTACGTCATCCCTCAGCATCTAGCTTCAGTGGAGAGAAGGGAAGCAAGCAATAATCCAAGGCAGAATGAGAAGGGTACTGAAAATGTGAAATGAGCTTTTGGTCTTTCTAAGGCAGAGAGGCTGCGATTTATAGAGTAGCTGTCTGTCTTCTCAATTAGATCTTCAGTAGCAATTGCACCAAGAATCACTGTAGTGGGCAGAAATTGATTTTTTCCCATGGTTTCAGTTCAGAGGGCCATTGTGAGTGATTTGTGCTAAGAGAACAAAAGTCTTATTTTTCTTTCCTCATCACAACTCTTACAATTCTTTCATTGTACAATGCTAGACATCAGCATGGCACTTAGTTGAGGTACCACAGTCCTACTGACTCAATCAACACTCTTTACTGTGCTTTTGGGACAGGGCAGGCAAAAATCCAAATAAAAGTACAATCAAACCAATCCCTTGACTCTGTAATGTTTACACAATCCCCATCTTCTACAACACATGTACACAAATGAGGATCTGAGATCAGCAGCACATGTATTTAGTTTTATGCTTGAAGTCTAATAGGTCTTAAGCATTTCTCACTAATGACAAACCTGCTTAATATGCTGCAGTGCACAGTCTTTCTAACATTGTTTGGAGCAGCTTTTTGGAAAAGGACCTGAGGGTATTATTAGCTGGCTGACCATGAGTCAGCAGTGTGCCCAGGTGGCCAAGAAGGCCAACGGGATCCTGGCTTGTTTCAGAAGTAGTATTGCCAACAGGAGAAGAAAGGTGACCATCCCTCTGTACACAGCACTGGTGAGGCTGCACCTTGAGTCCTGTATTCAGTTTTGGGCCTCTCTCTACAAGAAAGACACTGAGGCCCTGGAGTGTGTCCAGAGAAGGGCAACAAAGCTGTGAGGGTTCTGGAGCACAAGTCTTATGGGGAGCTGGGATCGTTCAGTCTGGAGAAGAGGAGGATGAGAGGAGACTTTATTGCTCTGAAAGGAGGCTGTGGAAATGAGGGTGTCAGCCTCTTCTCCCCAGTAACAGCAACAGAATGGGAAGGAATGGCCTCAAGCTGTACCAAGGGAGGTTCAAGTTGGGAAAAACTCAGAAAAGTGGTGCTGCAGTGGCACCCAGCGAAGGGGTGGAGTCAGCTTCCTTGGAGGTGTTCAAGAACCACGTGGATGTGGCAATGAGGGATGCGGTTAGTGGGCACTGTGGGGATTCGCTGATGGTGGGACTTGGTGTATTTAGAGGTCTTTTACAACCTTAAATGATTGTGTGATTCTGTGATCTTAGGGGCACCAGAGGGGAATAACCTGGATGCAATGTGTAAAAGCATAAAAGACCTGAGGCATCCATGATTAAAATGTAAAGCGTATACATTTGAGATCCACATGCCTCAAAATCTTTAAAAGCCATTTTATTCATCATATTTGTGACCAAATTCCCCTTTATTTCCCAGTACTGAGTATTAAAATCAGTGGTCAGCTCCAGGAGGATATGCAAACCACATTCCTTACATCAGCCTGACTATGGTCCCAGTCCACAGAGGCTGCTCTGAAAATACTTTCTTGCTCAGGTTCACTTGTAAGCCCACTTGGGAAGCAATTGTCCCTGGGCAGCTATTCATCACAGACAGAACTGGATGGGCAGCATTGATTTTATCTGTTTTCAAAACCAGGTCCAAATTAGATTACACATATCATGTCAAAAGAAGGCAGATTATCATGAATCCTATGCAAAGGTAGGCACTTTGATCCAAACAGCTCTGCAGAGGCTCCTGTCAGAACAGTCCTGAGTGTGCAACCTGTTCTGCAACTGTAGGGACACTCTGGGGCTGAAGTTTCTCTTGGGTACCCAGGTAACGAGCTTAATCCTGAAACACTTGGTAGCTGTGCACCTAATGTGGTTTCTAAACTATGTGGACACTTCGCCCTCAGGCCCTTTGCCTATTTTGTCCCTGTTGGTTTTGTACCTAAGGGTTCTTAAAGGGCATCGTTGCTATTCCAAACAACAGCTTCAAGAGTAAAAAGGTTTTCTCTGCTATAGGCTGTCTTAACTGTGCAGTGTCAGTACGATGTTTTCAGAGTGTGCCATGCACCAATCTTTACTTCAGACAGTACCGTTCCTTGGCAGAAGAGAATCATTCTGAAGTCCCTGATTGGCTTTTTACTCTTTTTCTGCTCGTATTAAAGACAGTGAAGCTGAAATATAAGGCAGAGGCAACAGTGGCATGACAAGAATACGTATTTGAAGTATGTAGCCACTCTTTTCTAGAAGAAAATCTTTTCTTCTATAGTCTGCCTGAATATTGCGTAATAGTGTAGTGACAGTCAGACAGATGTATGAACATACATTGTTTATCAACCTGCCAGTTAAATATTACTCCTGGAACACACTTGAAGAGCTTGCAGCACAATGTGTTAAGATATGTTATCAAATGATCTCTCTGTGCTAGCTCATTAATCAGCAAGAATGGAAGGGGAAAGAGAGAGAATTTGAAGAGGAAAGCTGCATTCTGTGCCTGAATGTTTTATTTCGACAGGAAAGGCATCTGATTTCCGGCATTTGCTGTTGAACCTGTGGCCATACAGACAGTGAAAATAATAGAATGGCTGGAGGTGAATGCAGGGCTGATTATATATTCCACCAGTAAGCATACCACCGGCGGCGATCAACTTTTTTTCCCTGAGAGTGTTCGCATCTGTGAATTTATTTTAAAAATACTGTTCCCAGAAGCAGTTAGATAGCTCAGCCAGCTCATCGCATTCTCTTCCCAAGGGAGACCATCCTTCCAACTCTCCCTCATGAAAAGGCCCAGAGGAATTTAGCGTGTTTGTCTCCAGGTGGATGGAAGATACATATGGTCCTGCCATGCAGCACTGCATCCCTGGCAAAGCAGAGCCAGGTATCAAGATGTCACACTTTGGGCAGAGAAGGCAGAAGGCTGGGTTTTCTTTTAAGATTTTAAATTTGAAAGGTCATCATCCACAGGCACATGGAGCAGAAGGAAGGAACCCAGCGGGAGGAGTGCTGCACAGATGTCCTTTCACATTGTGTTTTTTAGTGAGATGCGCTGAATGCATTTCTGGGCCTGAGGGAATAAGATTCAGGGAAGCTCAGAAACAGTCAGCATGAATAATAGGCAGAGAGACTAAAAATGTAGCAGTTCTGGGGGCTGTGCTAGGAGCACCAGAGGTCAAAAGCCAAGAGGATTGTGCAGCACTCACACTTCTCCCAGTACATGCACCTGAGCCCTCCCAAACAATACAGGAAAAAGCAGCTTGAGGTCTGATATGGTCACATAATACAAAGAGGTCTGCTGTCTGCAGGTTGGAAACTGAATTGAAGCAAGGTAAGGACAGCATCATCTGCCAGCTGAGTACCTGAAGCACTTACACAGAAGAGAATTCTGTCATCCACCATCACTAATAGGCAGCCCCTTGGCACTAACAGTCAGTGGGAAAATCCATCACTTTTGAGTTCAACAGTCTTTGATTGCTGGAAATAGGTTTTCCTATGGATATTTCACAGTACTGGTCAGGGTAACAAAATTATTTGAACAGTGCATGGAAAGAAGAACAGGTTAATGTGTGAGATCTGTACATCAGTGTCTACACTGAGACACCTGTCTGAATATGCTAAACTAAATAGATCTGCTCTGGGATCCTGCAATATAATAGCCAACTCTGAAAGCTTCCTCCTCAAACTCATGCACACAGGTTAAAAGTTACGAGTACTTTCCAAAAACAAGCAAAATCATGCATTGAATAGATTTGAAACCAGAGTTTTTTTAATGAGGGCTAGAAATTGGACTGGCAAAGCAAAAAGTTAAGAACACCTTCAGACTAACGTAAGAGCCTTCTCACTTCTGAGAATCATTTACTAAACACAATTTTATTGATTATGTTTGCTCAAGTGAACTTCAGTGACGAAACAAGATGGGATGATCTGAACTTACAGAGCCTGGCGTGCACATGTCATACAACACAACAATACCTTTGGATATTTTGAACACCTTCTGACCTCCACCCTTAGAGAGAAAGTTTCAAGGTTAACTAAAGCTTTAGCAACAGGTTTACAGTTATGTTGTCAGAAATTGGATTTCCAACCACTTGTTAGCCTCAAAAATGCCTACAAATTCTGAGAGAGGTTTTCAAAAGGATGTAATGATGGCAAAGCATTGTCCCAGGGAATGTAGAGGAGACCCTCACCTGTGCATTTTCTCTTCTAATAATGCAGAAGGATTCCATTTAAATGCGTCAAAGCAACGAAATTCTGAACTGACTGAGAAACATGGACAAGCCAACACCAAAGATGTACCCTTCTGGCAGCCAACACACCCCACAGCTCTTAGGAGAAAAACACTTCTGCACCAGTGACAAGCTTCATTTGCCACAGATGATCTTGCATCTCCTCCAACTGAATTACTTAGAAGATCTTTGTTGCCACTTGGAGCAGCATGGTTGTGGGCCTTCAGCAGATGTCCTCCAGGTGATCTTCCAGACCTGTGAACATGCAGGTGTGGGAATCATAGTTTCCAAACGTGGAGGAGCATGGGAAAAGCCCTCACTTGTTCAGCCTTTAATTATCTTCCACAGCATGAGGCAAAAAGGAATACTATACAGAATTATAATAATGCAACTTCCTGATGGCCAAGAGGAGAGACAAAATGTGCGTGCTGTAGAGGTTGGTAGTGGGTGGGCTGAGTTCTAAGTTCTGCCATGCTTGAGCTGGTCCTGAAGGTATGGCCATAGAGTAGAGGTTTTGGGTATCCCATCTAAAAGTTGTTCACGCTTTTTTTCTAATGCACATGCTATATAACTGCCAGTTCTGACACATGTAAAAGCTATCTGTAAAGACTTTGTGGTTTTCACTTGGTAATGTAGATAAACTGAATACTGACTTGCTACTGTGCACTGAGAACTGAGCACAATGTTGCTACTATACTCTAATTTCTTTAATTAAGTAGTATTTTAACTGACACATCTGCTCATTACACATAATGGTTGTGCCAGAACTACTATCCCCAAGTATAACTAATAATCCTGGCAATATAATATAAATAACAATATAATAATATTGTATTATAACCGAACTACTAGTAAAATACTTATAACTCATTTATGCATCCCCAATTCAATTTTGGATTCTGCTGTTCACCGAGCCCTTCTCCAGTCTCCACCAAGGTTGTAACAGTCAGAGCCACATGCAGGAAGTAGTAACCAATGCCTGTTGCTAACATCACCTTCTCTTGCTCTTGCACTGCTTCCCATCCTGAAGAACAGAAACCAGTCTCAAAGGCACCACTATCCCACGTCATTGGGCTTGCTGTATGTTAGTGTGGGAGCGTTTTCTACAAGGTGCTATTCAGCC